CTGTTGAACATGGGCATTAATGTTTGGACTACAGCTGTGCTACCCCAACCCCCCAGTGGGTGGCAAGCTGTGCTCATACCTAAAATTTTTGGAGGGGGATGCTGAAAAGAGGAGTGATAGTAGGAAAAGGGGGGAGAAAGAACTGCACACTCATTCCCTCTTGTCACTATCTGCCTCCCATTCCTTCAAGCTGAGACCCTTGGCAGGGGCAAGGCCACTTCTTTGTTTCTGAGCATAAAGAATAAACCTTTTAATAGGCATGCGGGTGTGTGTTTTCTATGTAGCGTTGGAGGAATGTGCCATCCATGAGTCTCGTGGGTGAGGACCTAACCCAGGGATGGGCAAACTTTTTGACTCGAGGGCCACAATGGGTTCTTAAACTGGACCGGAGGGCCGGAACAAAAGCATGGATGGAGTGTTTGTGTGAACTAATATAAATTCAAAGTAAACATCATTACATAAAAGGGTACGGTCTTTTTTTTTTTTTTAGTTTTATTCATTTCAAACGGGCCGGATCCGGCCCGCGGGCCGTAGTTTGCCCACGGCTGACCTAACCTCTCCCCTGTACCCACATGGCACCTGGCCCACAGGCTGTCAAGTACTGTTTATTGAGTGACTGGGCTGTACCTGTGTTCCAAGGTAAACATCGAAACCTAATTTGGGCAGTCCAAATTCAAGGGCACCATTTGGAAAAAGCCACAAAGTTTAGACGCTTCCTTGTTGCGGCCCCCACACGTGACCGCAGGGCGACCTGTTCTGACCTAGTGCATCCGTTGCCACTGCTCCTTCGGTTACTCCAGCAGTCACTTCCTGGGGCTCAGCGGCAGCCTCGCCAGACAGAAGTCACACTCTCCGTGGAGCCTGGGACTTACATTCGGACATGGAAGCCAAGGCTTTAGGCAGCCAGAGTCATGCTGCCGTGGGCAAGTCCAAGCAGCAACATCCAACTCTGATGTTCATCAGAGACTCCCTGAGGCTTGGCCAAAACCGGAGGCTGAGCTGGAGAGAGTAACACCCCACTGACATTCCTTCCCTCCACCACCCACTCCCGCTCCTGTAGCACAGACTTTCTCTCCTTTTCCTCTTTAAGGCTCATTCATCCCATGAATAGTCTCGATTTTAAGTCCCTATTATGTGCCAGGCATAGCACAGGGACATAGGAGTGACCTAACCAAACATTCAATCACTCCCTAATTATTTAATTACAATATCTGTGCTCCAAGGGAGTACAGGCGCTGTAAGAACACGTGACAGGGAGCTCTGACCTAGACTGGGGCTTGGGGAAGAGTTTCCTGGAGGAAGTGACCTTTGAGCAGAGAACTGAAACATCAGAGGGAGGTCCACATTCCAGGCAATGACAACACCACGTGTGAAGGCAAAACGGAACAGCTTATTCAGGGACTGGAAGGCCAGAGGGACTACGACAAAGAGCCACGAGCAAAGTAGCTCCAGATGCGGCTGGTAAGGCAGATAGGACAGCCCATACAAGCCGATTACAGCTCATAACACCTAATTAAGTCATTATTTACCCACAGGCTTTAAGCCAGCGGTTCTCAACCTGTGGGTCACGACCCCTTTGGCAGTCGAACGACCCTTTCACAGGGGTCGCCTAAGACCATCCTGCATATCAGATATTTACATTACGATACATAACAGTAGCAACATTACAGTTATGAAGTAGCAACGAAAATAATTTTATGGTTGGGTCACAACATGAGGAACTGTATTTAAAGGGCCAGAAGGTTGAGAACCACTGCTTTAAGCGCTGCCAAAATGCCAATGACCTTGCCTACCTCTCCACAGTAGCACCTCCTGCACCCCCTGGTCTTTGTCACATCCCTGACTCCCATGAACCTGCTCCTTGACCTCTGAGCTCTTGGCCCATGGATCTCAAACTTCGGGTGAATCAGAATCCTCTGGAATGCAAAAGGAAAACTGAGTCCCAGGCTCTCCCTGCCCAGATTCCAATTCAGTAGTCCCAGGAAGAATCCATGAAATCGGGATTTTGAATGAGCACACATTGTGAGAAACAATGCCTTTTTTCTTTTAGCTTTGTATGTTTTTAAGAAGATAAAAACATGTGGATGGTTTTTTTTAAAATTTCAAACAGTAAACGGTGAAAGGAAGGCATCCTCCTGCCTCTGATTCCAGTCTCCCATTTCTCATTCCCAGAGGTAACCACTATCCCAGTTCTTTGATTACTCTTCCAAAGATATTATTCAAACTCAGTCATACATACATGACTATACATTTCCTCCTTGTTTTAAATACAGATAGTAGCATACTATGAAGACTCTTCTACACCTTTTTTCCTTTAGTAATGTAGCTAGGAGAGCATTCCCTTAACAATACACAGAGATCTACCTCATTCTTTTATTTATTTTTAATTTTTTAAAATATATTTTATTGATTTTTTACAGAGAGGAAGGGAGAACCCAAGGACCCTTCGTCCACAGGCCGACGCTCTATCCACTGAGCCAAACCATATAGGGCCTACCTCATTCTTTTAAAGAGCTACATAGCTTCCTATTGCCTAGATGTCGTTTATTTTTACCAGTTTCCTATCAATAGACATGAAGGAGGTCCACTCTTGCTAATTCAAACAATATTACAGCAATTGTCCTTGAAGATATGTCCTTCTGCCCATGTCAAGTATATCTGTAGAGCAAATTCATAAAGCAGAGTTGATGGGTTAAAGACGGTGAGCATCTTTTTTATCACTGCCGATCAAACAGGTGACATGTGACATCTCCCTAGTTTCAATTTACATTTTTTTGTTTAGGAGTGAGGATGAACCGGATTTACTGGTTACTGGGTTGATGTCAACCCGTGGTCATTGGCGCCAATTCAATGCCAACAGGAACCCCCAATCTGGGGTGCGGTGAAAAGGGAAATTTTATTCAGTGCAAAACAGTTCAATTGTGATACAGCTGGGCTGTGAAAACAGCATGACGGTGAAGTGGCCCTGGGGCCTCACTGATCTGCTTTGTGCTGGTCTGCTCCGAGGAGACATCTTCAGTCTTTCAGCTCCAGCCAGGGAAACACAGTCTTCAGTGGAAAGTGTACTCTCAGTGCAGCCAGAGGGGACCTAACTTATATAGAGGGACATCCTGCCATGGTCCCTGATTGGTCTATTCTCATGCAAATGAGGGCTCCAATTTCTCACAATTTGATTGGTCCAAAAACCAGTCTTTTTATTGGGCAGAATGGAGCTTCTCTGATTGGTTGGTGAAGCTGGGGGGAGGGGGGGTATAGCTGTGCAGCTCCAATTGGATGGGAAAAGCCTCAGTTCTATTGGTTGAAATAGGATTCCAGGAACTCCTTTATAAGGGCTGGCTCAGGTGGCAGAAACACAGTGCAGGATTGTTTTTGTTTTAATTTGAGCCGTTAGCCACCAGGAGCCCATCTTAGTAGGTATTTTCTTTCTCATGATCCACAATGTTACCTTCTTAATGTACTCTAAGAGCTCTTTTTTAAAAATATATATATTTTTATTGATTTCAAAGAGGAAGGGAGAGAGAGAGAGAGAGAGAGAGAGAGAGAGAGAGAGAGAAACATTAATGATGAGAATCATTGATCAGCTGCCTTTGCATACCCACATGGAATTGAGCCTGCAATCCAACCCAGGCATGTGCCCTGACTGGAATTAAACCGTGACCTCCTGGTTCATAGGTCGATGCTGAACCACTGAGCCATGCTGGCCAGGCCCCTAAGAGTTCTTTATGTAGTAAGGAAATTAGCCTTTTGTCATAAATTTTGCAAATATTTTTCACATATTTTTCACACTTTATCTTTTTAAAGTTTCTAGTTCTTTTTTTTTCTTTTTACTGAAGTCAAATTCATATAACATAAAGTTAATCATTTTAAAGTGTACAATTCAGTGGCATTTAGTATATTCACAATGTTGTGTGACCATCACTTCTAGTTTCAAAGTATTTTATTTCTGGTATTTTTAATGATTCATAAGTTTTTAATTTAAATGTAGCATATTATCATCATGCTTTTTTAATGGCTTCCTTTTTTTTTTTGTCACAAGCTCTTGACCCTTTGTTTCCTCACAATTTGATACTTCCTTTTCTTTCCAGACTAAGTTCAAGATTATCATATCCACCACTATCTCATCAGCACCCTCAACTCTTGCTCCTTTCACAATACACGCTCTCAAACCCCACCCTTGGCTCTGTTGACCACCACCCTGCCCTTCTCCACTCCCACACTGGGCTGCTGAGCACTGCCAGAGAAAACTCACACAACCATATTTATTCGTTCATTAAGCAAATATTTTTTTAACATGTCCTAGGTGCACCCACACTGTGCTGGATACAAATTTGGGGCCAGGACAAACTTACAGTCTCCAGCCCCCGCTGGGCCCTCAATATCTGACAACCCTTTGTCTCACTCCATGTCCTTGGTCACCTTCTCCTGTTCCCATCTTACTAATCTTCCAAACCTTCCACATGTTCACAGTGACTTCCCCTTCTGTTTTTCACAGACATTAAACGATGAGGGATGAATGATTTCAACTTCCTACCTCCTACCAACAAACACTGACATCTAAACCAATTCTCCTAGACAACCAAGGTTAAGATGCCTTCTCCAGTACAAAGCTAATCCCTCCACCTGTGCTCACACTGCTCCCTTCCCATTCCCCTCTCTTCGACCCCTGCCTCTCCCTATGGTTCTTCCTCCATGGTAAATAAACCCATGCAAGGTTCTTCTACTAAAGAAAGGGAGGGAGGGATGAGGAAAGGTGGGAGAAAGAAACGAAACCAAAGGAAAAACACTCCTCCACGCTTAATTCTCTTTCACAGTAAAATCTATCTCTATTTCCTCTCTTTTCATTTTTATTGTTTTTATTTTCAAAGTTATATATGCACATAGTTTGAGGCTTCAGGTAGGGCTACAAGGTCTATTACAATAAAGAGTCGACCCTTCCCCCCTCCAATTTCC